GAGTCTGAAATACTTTAGAGGGGGTATCTGTAGGTGTTTAAAAATACCCATAGGTTCCCGTACGCAGCTCGAGACGAAGAAAAAACGATGAACGTCATCATCCGAGTCAAGAAGGATTATCCGAGTGGTCCGCACGCGCTCATCGGTCAGCTCCAAGTGACCGAACGTGCTCGTCAGTCAGCTCACACGCATCAGTCAACTCTAAGTGATCAGACACGCACATCAGTCGGTTCACATGCGTCAGTCAACTCCAAGTGACCAGACACGCACGTCAGTCGGCTCGCACATGTCAGTCAGCTTGTGCGCGTCAGTAAGTTCCAAGTGACCGCACACGCTTGTCAGTCAGCCACAAGTGACAGGACGCGTTCATTGGTCAGTCCTTCAATAGAGTGTACAAGTCAACACTGTAGGGTGTAAATTTTGATCTCCGGAAAATAGGGAACTTCGTTTGTATTGATAAGAACGACTTATTACAAACTAATAATCAAATGTTTACAACAGAAACGGAGGGAATGCCCTCCTTGTTTAACGTGGGTTCCTCGGTGGCGATAGGACGCCTCGCTCGGTGCTTGTGCCGAGTCTGCTTCCCTTGGACGATCCGATCGAAGTTGCTGCCGGAGCTTCAGTTCTCAAATGAGGGAGCCTTTGGCAAAGGTCCAGGTTCAACCTTTGGGAGATTAGCTAGCAGAATATGCAACAGCCAATCCCCTCTTCATGCTGGCTGAAGATGGGTTTTAATAGGCAAGGGATAGCATAGGCCATCCCTTGATTCATGGGATTTGACCACTAATAGAAGTGAGGGAGCCAGCCGCCCTAGCTGTGAGATGTGACCACTTAGGGGGTCCTGTCAGCCGCCTATTCTTGCTAGGTGAGGAGCGCCATGCTTTCTCCCTTGATTTGTGGGATTTGACCGCTGATGTAACTGTTCCCATACTCCAAGTGGGCAGTTGACAGTAAGCTGGCGAGTCTGCAGCTTGGGTCTGCAGGCGAGCTTGGGACTACAGGCAGACTTGGGTCTGTAGGCGAGCTTGCAGGCGAGCTTGGGACTGCAGGCAGACTTGGGTCTGCAGGCGAGCTTACAGGCGAACTGGGTCTGCAGGCGAGCTTGGGACTGCATGCAAACTTGGGTCTGCAGGCGAGCTTGCAGGCGGGCTGGGTCTGCAGGCGAGCTCAGGTGTGCAGGTAGACTTAGGTCTTGATCGTGCAGGCGAAATTCGAGCTGTAGGCGAGCTCCTGAGCATGGATCGAAGAATAGGCCGTAACTTTCAAACCGTAAGTCGGAATTGGACAAAATTATTTATGAAAATCGCCTATCTCGACAAGATGGAGCCATCCGAACCAAGCCGTAGGCTTTGGTTCGCTTCCTCTGTTTCGCCAAATTCCTTACGGTTTGGGAGATATCTGTGTTTTCCCCTTTTTATCAGTGTTTTTCCCCTTTTTGCTATTTCGGACGAGGTTTTAGCAGTTTTGTTCTGAACTTCTCTGATAAGGATTTAAAGGCAATTTTTATTGCCTACAAACACGATGGGCAAGTAAACAAAACGACAGAAAGTACAAGTCTGGAAAGCCAAGAAACATTGAAAACGTCAAAAGAAGTTCGGAACTCGCGTGGTGTGCGAGTCACCTCTTGGTGATCCGCGGCCACGCGGGTCACCACGAGGTGACCCGCGGCCGCGCGGGTCACCATAGTCTGTCCCACGCCCAGAGCTGTCCATAACGTCCAAAATGCATTTTTTGCTGTTTTCACATGATTTCTTCTGTTCCAGAGGTTCTCAACTGTCTAGATATCATCTCCAAACATGGTTACACAGTTGTCAACTAAGGACAAGGTCAAATCCATCGTTCTTATCCGAAACCCCCCAACCAAAGCCTATAAATACATGCATAAGGGCTCATTTCACGGGGCAGAAAAATTGATCAAGAGGGCGAGGTGCTGTTGGAGTGAAGAGTCAAAGGAGCACAAATTTATAGCGAAGGCAAGTCAGATCCCGACGAACTTCAACATAAAGAGGAAGGCTTTCGAAGGATTTGAACTCGTATTTCCCTCCGTCCGTTCCTTGAGATTAGACTTAGTCTTAATCTCGAGAAGAGCTACTGATTTCGGTTGGTCAATTTTAGTGCTTCAAGCGAATACTTCCTTGGTAAAGTAGGAGCTCTGATTAATCATTCTGTCAACCGGATCCGATCCGTAAGCGGTCCATGGATATTAACGTCCTCGGCACAAGCAAAGATCCCACGCAAACAGAGACTAATAAATAGGATCTATGTATTGTTTGAAAGAGATTGTAATTTTTATTTTCATTGTGTAAATGTCTTATAAAAAGACCAATCTTTTTTTGAACTTGTTGTAACAATTAAAGTTGTAACGAGTTATACAATAAAGAAAATAATTTTTGAACCAAACAATGTCTGAGAACTTGGGAATGGTCAAAGATAGAGCATATTTTGATTAAATAAAAAAAGAAGTTAGAGAATCAAATCCCAACGGTATAGGTGGGAACTTTTGAGAATATTTGCGCAAGTTAAAAAGACGTTATGAAAAACCTTCATGATGATAAGAATCCCTGCTGCACATCTAAGAGATTTGCTGTAAATGGGATTAGAAGAATTGTGGCTAACGTGGACTCAACTTGAAGACTCAACTTGAATCTTAACTACTCTCAATCTGAATTTTCTTCTCAGCTTGGGGAGTAGAGGCACTGTTATGCAGACAACCTAGATTTTACAATTGGGTTAGCTATACCATATGCGCAATGACATGTTGACTTGATCAACCAGGTACATACATCTGCACTCAACATAAAATTCGATCATGACCGATGGACCTAATTCCCAAGCCCTGGTATAATGATATGGGTCCATGATAGCGTATCCTAACAAGTATGCTACTATGCCTTGTCTTAATCCGGTCCAGTTCCTATGACGGTCTGCCCTAATTAGAGATGATTGATTCGAATCATATCTTATTCTTAACATACAGTATTAGGAGATATCAATTGAATAACCAATCTCTCTAATTATCGGCTTTCATAATTGGTCAATCTACAAATATGTTGGTTGTACCATCCTTTGCCAATTAGGTACTGCCACATGGTAACACTTGTCGCCCAAGTAAATACATTGAGACCAAATAATTAATTCAAGGACCAAGTATACACCACAATAACCTTGGCCATCAAGATGGTGACAGTGTAGAGGCTAATCTGCCCTAGGCAATTAGTATAAATACTTATCCTACCTAAGGTAAAAAGAAGTTTTTGGACAATATAACCTTTTGACCTAGGCTCACCTCTGCCAACATGTGTTAAGGGTCATCTTCCTCTAAAACTATAGACTATTTACTTATTGCTTATGATATTTTATCAAAGATCTAATTTAGACATCGAAAGAATGTTGTTGAACATCCCGTCATAATCAATTTGATGTTTTTTTCGTGATCTCAGGCCAAGCCAAATAGACTCAATTGCACCCTGAAGCTAAAGACCTACATGTATCATCAAAGCCGATTGAGGGGCCCTCTTCGATAACGTCCAATTTTAAAGATTTGATCATGTAAGAGGAGAGAGAGATACATGTTTAAAACCAAACGGAGGAGGCTACGGGTGGCAAACGGATCGGGTCGGGTCATAGTTGACTCAACCCGTATAAGTGTGATCCGACCTGACCCGTTTAACAAATGGGTCAATGCGATCCGACCCGTTCATTAAACGGGTTACCCAACCCGACCCATATAACCCGAATGACCCGTTTATCAAATCTCATTTCAATGTCATGGATACTGTAAAAATCAAGATGAAATGATCCCGCCAATGTCAAAGGGAGAAATGTGCAATTTGGCCAATTTATACAAATTAACTGACTAAAGAGAAAATACCTAAAGAATCCTATCACACACACTGATCCTGTGATTTTCCCAAAAAACCATAATATTATACGGAAAACTTCACTTCCTCCCCTTTCTCACCTTCATCAGCTCCTCCTTCGATTCTCTCACCATCGCCATCTCCACCAGATCCTGCAGCTCCTGGAACCAAATCACAGCCCACCATGTCAGCTCAAATCCACAGAAACCCAACGGAAGCACAAACATAACAACTTTGACACATAAAAATTTGGGTTTTTAAGATATCATTGCCCAATCTCATCAATTTTAACGTGCAAAATTCAATGGTTCATTCTGAACCTTTGACAGGGCATAACAAATATAGAAAATCTTTACATGATATTAAGCTTTGCAGAATTCTTTCGAAACAAAGAGATTTGGTGAAAATATCTCAAAAAACCCCTAAAAATTCCACCTTTTGCCGAATGACGTATTTCTCCTCCTTCTCAACAAAGAACACATTGAACTTCCCAAGCTCGTCCCACTGCCGGCAGAGGTCTTGGCGCGCTTCGCCGGTCGATCACTGCCGGCGGCAATGAGCTTGAGCTTCTTCTTGAGGTCTTTGTAGGAGAGGAACTTGTCTCTCCACTCGGGTAGGGTTTCCTCTATCTGATTGCTTAGACTCTTCTCAAACTTCATCGGAACACTAATTTCGTTCTCGATTACAAAAATGAATAAATGTTTTTTTTGACGATTAGAGGAAGAATCGCTAGAGACGCTTTACCTGGCGGGAAACTGGGGGTCGAAGGAAGAGGAGAGAGAGGAGAAGGAGGAGGATGAAGACGACGAAGATGATTTCATATTTAGAGTCTGCAACCCATTTAGAATTAAACAGTTCGGTATTGAGTTACACATGTAAGTTCGGGTCAACCCTAATTTACCCATCTAGTAAACGGGTTAGTTCGGGTTGACCCGTTTATGACCCGACCCATATAACTCCATCCATACTTAATATAAACAGATCAGGTCGGATCGGATTGATGGGTCGGGTCATAATTTGTCACCCCTAGGGGAGGCCCACTTGTAATTCGGCTCTCCCTCACCCTTCCGTTTTCTTAACGGGTTTGGATCCCTAACTGATTCGACTCGTTAGTACCACATTGTATGGTCTGATGACGTAGCACGGAGGGTATTCGCGTAATTAAGCACAAGAAGAAGAAATGCGAGGGGTTGGGGGTCCATTGCTGTGCATCGGCGATCTCCTGAGCGACGTCGGCGACGACGATGTCCTCGATTGGGCCCACAAAGAAGACGCAGCGGAACCGTCTTCCCCATCTTCTCCGGCCGCCGGCGATCTCTCTCTCGGCCCTCTCCGCCCCTCCGATCTCCATCGATTATTTGAGGTATTTACTCCCCAATTTTATTATCTTTTATTTTTTTTATTTTTGTTTTTTCAATAAAAAGTTTCTAATAAGACCCTAGCCCTAGACCCGCATCAAAACAAACTTCCATCTGTTATTTCTTAGCTAAATCTTACAGTACAGATTTGTTTCAAAGATTGTTACTTTAGCATTAAATCTATGTATTTCGACATAATAGACAGTAAATTACAAGTATGGGATTGTCCAAAGCTTATTAGCTTGCTTAGATTTATGTATTTTAATACGATAGAGGTGTAATTTTGTGTGGTAGTGATGATTTTTTTCAGGTTCTCACTGTTCATATAGTAGAATATCTATCATGAAAAACAATTGGACCAAATGGTACCAACAAGTTGAGCAATTATATTGTACTTGACGTGCTTCTATAATTAATGGAAAATTAGCAGTTTCATTATGTACAATTGTACATTAACAACACATAAAGAAGGATAGATACTTAGATAGTATTAATCTAACCTGATTGAAGGAGGGGATTCATGTAGTCAGACATAAAATATTTGCGATAACTGTTTCGTTGTGTTCTTGTTGTACATTAGTTGCACATGTTGAAAATTTTATATGATATGATTTGATACAGAAACATTATGTAGCTATGCCAACAACGTAATGGTTTCTATTAATCAGCTTGGTAGAGTATATCATTACATTCTATGTTGCAAAAGCACATATATAATGACATGCCATGATGATACATCAATACGGCATATACATGATGATACATCTACCTTGAAAAAGCTAAGGCACCATACCGAAATATGCTAATTAATAAATGTGGTAAATATGAAAATACTATAAGAAACTTATCTTTCACTAAAATATGAATGCTAGCTAGGAATATGAGTTGATGGTAAAAATAGAAATAACAAATTATAAGGGTCAAGGGTGTGGTTGGAAACTCTACTTTTAGTTGATGTAACCTTTGTCCTAAACCTTGTTTTGGGTATGTTAAAAATTTGACCCAAATTGAACCAGTTTTTTCTAGTTCAAATCCTAGCATTTAAACTAGTTCTAATTTAACCAACACTACATGTGCTAACTCCAGCTTGGTTAAGATCAGGCCGAGTTTGATTTTGGAGTTGCTAAACATAGTCTGAAATGATTTATCAATAAAAAGAATAGAATAAATGCTGACAATAGAATGTGCACTGAATTCCATAGCATTAAAGGTTGCAACTTAGAATTGAACAAGTTCCTAGGTAAATCGGACACTTCGTCTAGACTCTTGTATCCGTGTCCGACAGTTCCCATATCTATGTATATATTTGACACTCCTTGGACACTTCTTGATATATACATACATTTATTTAGATGTGTACTCGATTATACAACACATGTTTTAGTTTAAAAACTCATGATACACTTCTTGAATGTATATTGTACACTTCACCTAAAATTTATTCAACCCGTTCTCCTTGGACGCAGGGTAGGTTTGCTTTAGCACGTACGTAGTTCATAAGTATGATTTTAAAGGGTCGTTTGGGTATCTAGTCAAAAAACAAGTGGCTTTTTAATTTATAATCTACTCGATAAAAGAAACATAAACATGCTATAAGGATTTTAGTTCTCATAACATGTGAATGGAAAATAATATTAGTCTCATATAGATTATTAATTTTAATATATATGTATATAGCCATGTCCCTATATCTAACTTTTACAATTTTGTCGTGTCATGGTGTCTGCACCCAAACCCATATCCGTGCAACATTGACGAGTTCATAATTCAAAGAACTAGAGATATTGGAGTGTTTATAATATCAACTTATGACGCATACTAAAATTTTGCATCACAAAATGTACGGGAGAAACGGAAGCACTTTGGTATGATACAAAAAGCAATCATCATTGATTTTCTCTCTCTCATTTATTTTATTTGCCTACCACATGAAAGATTGGGAAATAGTTTTTCAAAGTAAACTAGTTGGGTATCTCATGAATGATTTAACATTAGTAGTAAAAGAATACATATATCGTGTGTTATAAAATATTTTTCAAGTTACATAAATTAAAACCAGCCAAGTATTCCTCATTCGTTGCCAAAGAGTGAAAATTGTAACCAATATATTTAAATTAAATTGAATTATAAATACCAGACTTATGTTTCTATTTTATTAAATTTAGTATATCAGGCTTTCTTTTATTTCCTGATTTCTCTTGATGATATTTTCATTGTTGCACTTGCACCAAGTTATTTACGTATGCACTTGCAACTTGGGAAAACCTTCGGTTGAACACTCATATGAGAAGTAGGATCCAATAGTTAACCATTTAAGTTATAGCATTTTTGCAAGAACTAATATCTTTAACCCAGCAAGTGCTCTTGGAACCATTATAGATTGTCTCCTATCACTTGACTCTGAACCAACATTGTCTTGGATTCTTAGGGCTTGTTTAACTCCTCAAAAGGGGACTAGGTTTGGACCTAGTTCCATTTTAAGGAGAAAGGCGTTTGGTAAAAGTTGGGTTAAGATTAATCCAACTTTCTCTAGGCCAAAAAATGACCTCTAAACTAGTAGTTACAAAAGAACCAGTTTAGAACAAAATTGGACCAGGTTTGATCCTGGCTTACTTTTGTAAGGATTGCCAAACACGCCCTTATTATTTTCACTGTATATTAAAGTCATGAGATTAGGGATGGAAGCATATGATTCATGTAGTCAACCTCAAATTTGGTATAAACACTTTGTTATTGTCGGTGTTGTTATCAAAGTCTTAAAGGATTTTTTCCATCCATTTGTTCGCATATTGTAATCTTGCGATCAGTTAGCCATCAGTTGCTTGGTATTTTTGAGTGTGTCCATTCATTTGCTGTTCCACTAGACTGACGATAAACTTCTCTTGTTAGATTAGTTTCCCAGCCATTGCTAATCGTTTGCGAGAATAATATAAAGTGCATGAAGATGCAATCCACCAAGGTTGGAAACTAGACTTTTGTTCTAAAGGAGACTGAGCAAAGAGCTATGCTATTTTTCAACCTTATTAGTTAGCTTAAACCAACGGTCTCTTCTTTCATTAGGTGAGTCAAATCCTAGAGAAGTTCAATTGTAAGGGGAGGGCTTAAATTGACTGTAACCGAAGATAGATTAATCTGTACATGACATTTATCTACCTATCTATTAGCTATTCTAAGCTGATGCTGCTTGTTCATTGAAGTGCATGCATTTGATACTTGTGATTAAACACCCAGTTGGTCTGAGCTATTGAGTGATCTTTTACAATATGTGCATGTTTTACATAAAATATTAGAATCTACTCATCGTTTGATGCATAATATGGCTGGCAAATTTCACTCCTCTTTCCTGACTTATCAATGTTTGTTTATGTTTAAAATCCCTTATGGAAGCTCTGTTTTGGAGATAGCTCGTGTAACTGTCCTTGAAATTTGCCTTCGCCCTTGCTCCTTGGTCTTGATATGAGCACATACTCTTTCTAGATGTTTCTGATCACTTCAGAGATAATATAAAGGTAATTATTGGCGTTAACCTCATAGGTCTAGTAAGGACATGATTAGACTAGTCATCAATGGAAGTGGTTTCATATAATTCACTGCAAAATATCAAATACATAGTCCAACTTAACTAACAACGTCTAGCCCACTTTGCACCGGTCATTACTTTTGGCTACTGCCATCTATGAATGAACGTTGTAATATCATTAACAATGACATGTTTTAGTCCTCAACAATACTTACTGCTGAAACTTGCATGTTATGATCAACATATCTTTTATATGTACATCCATTGACTTCCCTCCCTCTCCCATCAAATCTACCCTCTTGCGTCCTCACCAACAAAACTTTTTTTTTTCCTTTTTTCTTTTTTCATTTTCCCATTTTTAAGAAAGGTTGATAACTTTTTTTTTCTCCCGCATAATCTGAATTGCTTTTTCACATCCTCCTGATAATGTTTCACCTGATTGACTCCTGCTTGACCTGATTATTTTAGCCCTTCAAAATTCAACTCAGATTTCTTTTTCATCCTAAAACCACTGTGGCTGAAGAACTTCGCACAAACCTAAAGTAATACCTACAAGCCAATGTTTAAAAAAGTAGAAGCGCGATGCGAAGCGCTAACCCTCCCCATGAAGTGAAGCATAAGCTTCGAGGCGTGAAGCGTGAGCTTCAGAGTTTTCTTTTTCATTATATTATTTAATATAAATATATTTTATTTATATGCACAAATATGTACTATGTACTAAATAAAACATCCAAAACAAAAAATATAAGTTTATTTTTCCACTTTCAAACTCTAAAAAGAAATATAAGCCAGATGTTTCTCATCCACTAATAATCTTGAACATCTATACTGAAACAGTAAAACACTTAATCATCTTCTTCGTCACCAAATTAGAGAGGCTGTTCATCAATTCATCATTGGCTCCATTATCTTCAATATCATCTTCATCATCATCTATGATTTGAAGTTCCTTTCCTTTACCTAATTATAAATTTCAAGAGTAGATTAGTAATATACTAATATGTAAATAACAATGATATCAGTTATGTAGTTTATCTTTTTTAGTTTCACTTACTTTGGCTAGAATGTACTTTTTGTCTCTTAGCTGATGCACTAGCAACATTTTCACGTCCCTCGATCTCCTCTCGAATTGTATCAACCGGAGCAACATCAAAAAGCGACATGTCATCTTCTATTACATGAGCATCTACGCTATCAATGTCTTCATCCTCATTTATAGCTATCCATTCATCATCTGAATACGCAGCTTCCACTAATATAGGATCTGCGTAAGCTTTTCATTTCATGCTTCTCTCTCTTACCTCCGTATTGTACATAGAATATACAAGAGAATGTAGTCTCTTTTGTTCCAGTCTATTTCTTCTCTCTGTGTGAACCTATCATTTCCAATAAAATTTGTTAGTAAAAATTAACTAGGAATGTAAGATAAGATAAACTTAAATTACAAGTTTACAACGTTAGGAGAAAATAAGTTTTTTCCCCCTC